CATTATTCGAATTTGTCTAGTTGCTGTAGTATATATCACTTCCAAATTTAAATAATATATACAAATATATTATTTATTGGCACTAGAAAAGGATAAGTACATCATTTGAAATCGAAAAGGATAACCAATTCGACACAAACATAAGGATTTGTTCGACTTATCGCTAAGGAAAATTTGCAAATTTGTGGTTCATTTGAAAGGAAGTTTTTGAATTTTCAATCATTGGAAAGACATAATAACCGTGAGCTCCAAGCAGTAATTTCATTGAATTCAGTTACGGTTAAAAAAAACCTAATATCTCAATGCTTTTAATATTTGCGAATTTTTTTATATTTACATAAGCGATTTTACAAACTTCGAACCATTCCGGTACCAAATGCGGTATTGCGAGCAAAACCCTGAGTGCCTTGGGTAAATACACTTTTTGAACATTATTTTTCAATAATCAAGTAGAAAGAAAAAATATTAGAGTTTTTTAATGAAAAATATTTCTAACATTTTATTGTCGTTTGCATTGGAGATATTGATTTAAGGCAAATATTGCTTTCCTAAACATTTCTCCTTCAAATTTGTTTGTTTGTTTAGGCATCTTTGTTGCATGTACGAGTATTATTTGCCGGCATAATGCGATACTTACTTCCCCATTCCAGTTCCAGTCTCAATTGGAATGACAAATACGTGCGCAAAATTCAAATATGCCCGAATGGATTTTTTCTTCCTTTCCGAACTGAGATTTCATGCCATTCGCTCTTCCTTTTCCTGTATGGCTTTTTGTTTGATTCGTCTTACAATTTTGCATTCTGTTTAAGAATTTAATGATTCTGTGCGAAAAAACTTACAGGATTTCTGCATTGTTCTTCTACTTCAAAGGATGAAAATGCTCACTTATTTATTTTATTGCTTTCAAGCTCGGCGTAGTTATACTGTGATTATGTGTGTTGTCCTGAATCCAAATTTCACAAATTTACAATACCTTCAAGTAGTTTGAGTAGTTCTCCTCTTTCGATTTATTCAACTTTTTTAGTCATTTTTGTTTGATCCTCTTAAAGCGGAAAAAATTAAATCAATAGATTAATCTTTTATATTGAAAAAAAAAATTATTTTATTTAATAACAAATTCTTTTTACACTAATAGATTATAAACAAAAGTAAAATATCAATAACAAAACTAGTTATTACCGTCATTTCAAGAACCTGCTATCTGCGAATATTCACCTGAAATAATATGGTGTCTATTTTCACAAATAGTCAAACTTATATTAAAAGTTCAGCGATGAAACTGTTCTTTGTAAAATCCATAAAATCTTAGACGAGTATAAAACCAGTACTTGATTATGCAGATGAAAAATCGAAACTATCCGAAAAACACTATCTGAAAGTTCATCTCTTTGCTTAAAGAGACGAACTTTCTGTATTCTTCGGAAACTAAGATAAGACTTTTGGAAACTATGGAATATTCGATATAATGTGGACATTCACCAGTTAATTCCCATTCAGTATAGGGCTTAGCATATTTTGAAGGTCATGCATGCCTATTGTAAAAGGTGACTAAAATCCATTAAGCACAATCTTGTACTATTATCGAGTATAGCTGACAACAAGTCTGAAAACCCACTTGTAACACTTTACTAGAGGTGAAATCTGGTACTATGGTATCTGATGCCCACAACTTTGGTTGCACTAGACACTGAATTTGCTCCGTAAAGATGCGTTGTGCTGATTGTGATTAACATCTAAAGTTACGGAGGTAGTGATTTGTATTTATAATTCTATCTGAAATTACATTTTATCTACCGTTTGATGTGACCCAAAGTAGAGTAGAGGCTTGGATGACGGAATAAAGTCAGACTTAATGGAATGTTCATTGGCGTTCATCTTTATTTTGATACATACGTTGAGAAATCTTTAGGCAGGTAATTACATAAATCTACAGATTCTACAGAGAATGGATATTAAAAAACTTTCTAGCTAATGAAGGAAAGAAGTACTTCTTCCACTTCACCTACTAGTCCTTTTATATGTCAGAACAAAAGTTAATAATTATAAAATATATTATTTTTAACACCACTGTCATTTCTTTCGGGTCATTGCCTACTGTAATTTTCTTCGGCATTCATCCCGACCTCTAGCTTGTGCCTTCAGGCAACAGTTCCAGAACTCTTCTGCATATCTTTGATTATCGATTTCAACTTTTTATATATTGTCTCATTGTAAGATAACCGGTCAATAACAGTTTGTGAGATTTTATGACTTGGGTTTACAGTTGTCGCCATATTCCCTTATATACCTATGTTAGATTCAAAATTTTTATGAAGTGTTTTTCATCAAAAGATTTGCAATTAATTATTATTTGATTTTCAGAATGCTTTTTTGGAACATGTTATTAATAGTAAGATGTATGATGCCAACAATCATTCATTTATTTATTTTATACTTTATAATCATTTGTAAAAACGTAAACTTTTTAATAGTCAAGTGTGCACTGAAATTCAGAAATATTTACTTACTTCAAATAGTTTTATGAAATCATTTATAAAAAAATATGTGTAGATAAGGTTACACTTATTCAGAGATTTAAAAAAATTTTCGTTTCGGCCATTTACAAAAAAATTTTGTCAAACATGAGAAGTTACGCTCAGGATATGAAAACCGTGCTCGAGCTTTGCAAAAAGGCACGTAAGATAAGAAAGGCAAGGGATGATAAGAGTTACGAATTTTCCATCAAGGTAAGTGGTATCAACAGATCTATTTATTTTTATTTTCTCTCATTTATGCTGAAAAAATTCTGGACTAGGCAAAAGCGTATTTGAGTAAAGATGACTTATCCGAAGAAGAGCAACAACAGAAGAAAAAGAAGGCCAAAGAGAAAAAACAGAAAAAGAACGAAATGCTAAGAACTATTAAATCTATGCAGACGCATCTCTTGAGCATGGAGGATCGTGTCCAAAAGATAGACAAACACGTAACAGTAATGGAAGATAATGTTAAGGAAAATGAGAAGAAGAGGGCAGCATTAAAGGATATTGAGGAAAATGAACGGGAAGCTAAAACTTTGGTGGTGACTCCTGCCCCTCGCAAAAGGGATGGTATACCGAAAATGCGAACTGAAATTAGACGATTCCTTAACGTGCATGACAGTCACTTTGATTGTAGCCTTCGTCCCAAAAAGTATAACAGACGTCCATCGATGGTTAAAGTACTAAGTCATTCCGAGTTGTTTTATCGTAAACAAATTCGAAATTTTAATATGGCTTATAACAAATCCGAAGCTACTTTGAAAATTGTTGAACGACCATGGGCACGCTATATTCCGACTGCTGAAACTAAAGTTATAAAGGATCACATTTATGATGCTTTGTTTCATAAAACAGCTTGAGTGAAACTTCTTGTAATTATGCGGCAATTCACAAAATTAAATGTTTGATTAACCACATATTGTGCTTTGTTTTATTAAATGATTACTAAGGTCCTTTTCAATATAAGTCTTATACGAGTATATATTTTCTTAGAAGGGTGAAATTATACGCAGATATATAAAGACAAAAAAAATAATTTAACAAATATAAGCACATATAAATCTTTGTACAGATAGATATTCCGAATACCACTGTTAAAATGGAACTGTTAAGAGGATATTAAAAAATATCAATAGATTTTTAAAGTCTGTGAAATTCTATAATCAATTAGAGCTCCCATTACTAATTGTTAAGAATTAATTGAAAAAAAAATTTTTTAAATTAAATTTTTTTTTTTGAAAGTTGACAGAAGAATCAAAATATCAATCAATCAATTTTTAAATAGTCAATCCTAGAATTTATTTTTGATTATAAAACTATGAACACAAATAGTAGGTAGGTAGATTATACCGGCAATTCCAAGGGATCCACTTAGGTTAATAGGTCCATTGTGTTAACTTATAATTAAAAGCTGAAGTTTCAGAACCACTTAGAACCTTTGGCTTCAGAACCACTTTGGGAAGGTCTTGCAGTTCACTAAGATGCTCAGAAAAGAAAACCGCTACAGTGTTAAAGAAGGATGTGCTGAACAGAAACAAAACAGATAGGAGGCACTTCATCGTCCTCTCCACAACTGCGGCAGCTATGATTGAAAGAGAGATTTAGTCGTCTAGCATGGTTACCTAAAATGCAATGACCAGTCAGTAAATCTACTATAAAACTGATATCTCCATGGGGCATCTCAATGAGAGAGCTTTATTTCCTTTTATTAACATCATTTTTTTTTTATTAACATTTATTAAGAATATCAAATGTGGACTGAAAGCATAAAAATCTTGCAAATCAGTTATGTAAATGAAAGAATAAAAGACTAGTTCTAACAAGTAAGTAAATTCCACAGCTTAAGTAATGATAATAATGATTGATAGCAGTTAATACAGGCGATTCCTAATACAGTGACTATTGGAAGGATCGTGGACTTTTCTTATAGAAATTGTTGGCCAGATTTTTGAAGTACTTGGTTTTGATACAACATATACTATTTCAGTATAATAATCATAGACCTGGGACTGGTCTATCTCAAGTAGCATTTTTTCTACAGTTTTGCAGCTAATAATTTATTGTCTAGAAAATGTTTTACAAGTAAGGGCACAATTATACCTATATTCGAATTGTCAAATAACTATTAAATATATATAATTACAGTTGGATAATGTATACAACTGGTTACCCAACACAAATGAAACAAAACTTGTCTAGCTTTCGACAGATGAGATATTGGATGATATAAAAGAACACCACACTATCTACATAGGATCGAAGTCTTCATACGAGGTATACACTTGTCGGACTATATCAAAATACAAGATTTTTATAAATTTAATGTTAATGCTTCAAATAATTATAGCAACTAATTCATGTCCCAGCAAAGATATTTAAAAATTAAGAACACCAAAACCCTCGTTTTTCAGGAAGGGTTTAAATTTTTTAGCTCTCAGTTTTAGAAGCGTTTAACCCTTTTTAGCCTTAGACTTAAAGCCCTCAGTTTACAAGATATGAATTATGATATCGTTTAAAATTGAAAAGAATACTGGTTCTTATTACTATTGTAATGAAAAAATTTATATAACTTTTCTATAATCTATGAACGCTTCATTTTTTCTTAACTCCATTTTTTCTCTTTAATCATAAATACTTGAATTGCTGTTTAATATCTATTAGAATTTGATCTAGAATTTCTATGAAAGAAATAATTTCAATTAACCATTTGTATGATTTCAAAAGCCAGAAAACTAATAGAAAATAAAGTTAATTTAAATTGAATTTATTTAATTAAGTTTCTACACAAAACAACAAAGAGACTCAATTTACAAATATCAAGCACATTCTCATGCAGACATCATCATATTCCATTCCATTTGCATTGAACAAAAACCCTATTAAAGCAAAACGTTCCTGCCTATCTGAAATTGTGAATAGAAATGGCAAGGACTCACAGCAATGTGTTTAAAGATCTAACATTGCAATAAAAGAGTTAAATTACTGAATGCTCAAAGGACATATGAGTACCGACAACAGGACAACTTGGTCCATATGAGCTTATTCGCATTTGTGCAAAATACGAGTATTTCGTTTATTTTACTAGAAAGTCTTCCGAAAATTTGCCAGTAACCAGTTTTTCAAATTTCCTCTATTAGCTAATATGGCAGGATATGGTGGTCTATGAGGATTGGTGCCAATGTACCATACTGTAGTATAAATTGTAATCAAAGGAGATTTCGTAAAAATAGGAGTACATATACGGGTATGTATGTGTCGTATTTCTATCAGCATTTTAAAGTAATATAATTGTTTAGCATAGTGAATAGTTTTCCCGCTTTCAACAACAAATGTCATTGATGTTTGAGTAGCAAATATTGGCAGTTCCATTTTGCAATTTCAGATTTTCTATACTCTCCCAGTTTATTTATAAATGCAAACAAGGAATTCAATCATTTTTACTGATTTCAAATTTAATAAACAAATATTTCCAATCAAAATAAACTCACAAAATGAGTGATGAAGAGATGAAATTGTTTAGGAATGGCACAAGAGATAAATTGAGTTGATGAAATAATTTTTTTATTCGAAACTTGAAGCTTTGAACTAAGCAATTTCAATATATTAAATAAGTTCATAGTTTTATTTGAAAAATTTATTTATTTAATATATGTATATACATGTGTGTTCTGATATATATGGTAAATATGCATAAAAGAAATTGATGAGTTTTACTCTTTTATAGTATGCTATATTAAAGGAATAAAGTAGTAGTATTGATAAAAAAGTGAAGAAGTAAAATTGTATTGGATTAATACACTAATGCATAAGCGAAAGGAATAAAGGCTACCTAGAAATAGAACTATGTAATGTTGATTCAATACTATAATTTATCGAGAAAATTTAACTTTGAGAAACACACAGAACCCAAGTAGGGCCCACAATATATCGTTAGGTTTTAAGGGAAAATCCTCTAGCCATATACCTTCTGCTCAAAAAGTATTAGGATTTTGTAAATAAAACACACAAATTTAAATTTTATTCCAAATTTATTTTATCTCCTTCAAAATATGCTCCTTTTGAAGCGATACACATATGCCAACGCTCAACTCAATCTGCCATGCCCTTTTCGTAGGCCCGTGCAGGTATGGTTTAGTTCCTTCAGCGAATTCTCTTTTACCGATTCAATCGACTCAAAACGCTTACCACGAAGGTGCCTGAGCGATGACAGTGGTGCCGTGTTTGGTCAAAAAGTCACGTACAAAAAGAATTTTCCATAGTAAAAATCGCTAAATGCACTTGATGTAGTCTCACATTAACAGCTGCTGTAAACAAACTAATTGACAGATGGCGCTCAAATTTGTACCATATGTCAAGAAAGGGTGTACTGACATAACAAAAAAAAGGTCTATTACTTAAGGAGTAGTTAACAAACAACAAAATCCGGATACTTTTTGAGCAGAAGGTATAATAATAATATAAAATATTATTATATATTTATGTGTATATGTCTAATTATATAATATTATATATTATTATTAATACATAATAATAAAATAATGATAATCAGACAGAATCTCGATCACACTTCACAGGAACATGAAAACGAATGACCGAACTATATTTTTTATTTATTATTTTAATAGTTATTTAATCTTTTCTTGTATTAAAGATAAACCATGAATGTGTAGTATGTATTATACGAGGGCGGTTTAATAAGTCAGTGACTTTTGAATTTCCCGCGCAGTTACTCCAAATGCAACAGTGCTGCTGTCAGCTGTAAACTACCAGTGGGCAACTTTCTAATTTTGAGCAAGCTACGTCGTTCAGTTGGTGTTTGATAGCTGTTCAAAGCAGTACGGCTATTTTCCCTGTTTACCTGCGACTATTTTCTGTTGCCAAACCTAAAGAAATAGCTGGGCGGTAAGAGATTTGAGTCGAATGAAGAAGACATTACCGAAACAAACGAGTATTTTGAGAGCTTTGAGCAAACCTATTATTTGGAGGGAATAAGAAAATTAGATTATGTGGAAAAATAAAATGTTTAATTGCCGAAAAAAATTTGTTTTATTCAAAAAGTCACTGACTTATCAAACCGTCCTCGTACTTAACAAATAATATTTTATTAAACCTTATTGATGACGATATTCCCACGTACTATTGTCATAGAAGGAAAACTGTTAAAATGTTGCCCAATACATTTATTGACCATCATATATCTTTTTATAAGACATTTTCCAAATAATGAGGCTTTACGAAAATTCGAGAACGTTTGTATTTTGTATTTATTGGTTAAAACATTTATAATCTAGGTAAAGTGTCAAAGATGATAACATTTCAAGCCACATTCTGTGTAAAAACTTAAGCTAATAAGTGGATCGTATGGCGGGAGCTAAGGCAAGACTTCGAATCAAAATCTTTTGTTATCAGAAACTTCGTTTTCTTAGTCATATATCTTCTATGTTGTTAAAGACTTGCTAGCCACAGAAAATATATATTAAAATCGTGACATATTACTTTACTGTGTGAACAACACTTCTTTTTTTATCCTATTTTTTTAATTAGAAGTGATTGAAGGGTTTAGCTGGGAATTTTTGTTTTAAATCATTTTTAATTTTCCGCTTTTTTAACCATAAATCTTTAATATTATTTCTATTTCTTTACAAAAAAAAACATATTTCTATACAAAAAGATTAAATTTTTCCTTCAATTAGATTGTGATAATGTGAATGACCTAAACATTTTTCCATTTCTTTACAAAATTTATATGATTTTCACTATATTATCGAAATTCATACAAATTTGCATATATATTTTTAATCCCTCTCAAAAATTATTTAATAACAGAAAATCTCGTTTAATTGAATAAAAATCCGAAATGTACAAAATATCAACTGCAGCTTTCACATTAAAGATGAAATGTGGAAGTAAATCAGTT